TTGAGGCATAGCCCGATGTCCATAACTATGGATTCCAGGGTCAATCAATGCTGTGTTCTCATGGTTATGACTATTACTGGTGTGAATTGCATGAGCGAGATTGGCGGAAGTCGTCGGTCCTGACGAAACGGGTACTGGAGTGAAGGCCAGCAAAATTGGCGCACTAACAACGTCAGGAGGTGCCTGTGAACTAACAGAGTCTACCCAATCATTAATTCGATCGGTTGCTACTTTTGAAATAGGTTGACTTACTCCTGTCGAGTTACTTTCCGTTACCTTCTCGCTAACCTCAGATGAACTGTCCTCAAGTTCAAACGCTTTCAGTTCCAAGTCAATTAGTTGCTTTTTATGACTTTCAGCCAATTGCTCTAGTTTCAGCTGACTTTGTTCGAACTTAAGACGGTTCTCTTGCTCTTTAAGTCTTAAAGATACTTGATACTGCCTTTCCAGCTCCTCGTGGCGTCGTTTCACTAAAGCTAACTCATGTCGTTCTCACTTGATGACATTGTGCGAACAGTCGACGTATGACGAGTGGAAGCAGAATTATCAGACTTATGTTCGTCAAGCTTTCTACTATCATTAGACTTATTAGAGACCTTAGACCTGTTTTCAGATACTCGTGATTCTGAATCTCGGGTTTGGTGCAAGCTTGAGGATGTCTCAGACCTAGCTTGTTGTAAAGATCCCCTGCTCCCTGTAATGCCGGCTGCTGGAAATGACGAAGGCACAAGGCTCATCTTGTAACTCTGAGCTTCATGCATTACTTTATTGTTCATTTCGGTTACTTTCTTTAGCCAAAGGTCTTGCTGAGCAATAATTTTTTCAGGGTTTTCCGTTTTTCCCGCTAACCTAAATAATTGCACACTGACTTCGACAGCTTTTTCCAACGCAATTTTACATTTTTAAACAGCATTATCAATTTTTGTGGTGCGACTAATATTCTCAATGTACTCAAGTAATAATGAGTGGCATTTAAGCAGCTCATTTTCTAGATTTAGACGGTTTTCGAATATATTGCGTAGCTTACTTTGGAATTTTTTGTCCATGTTTTTCACAAATTGATAATATTCTACGGATGCTCACTTATAGAAAACAATCAATAAATTGAGATACTGTTTTGGCACGTAATTAAAATTGCATTAATAAATCAATATTAGCTTACAAGATTGGGGAGCTTGATGTTTCAAAGCTTCTGCCTGAAGCCTATTTTTTATAGCTTTCCGAGCTTTGAGAGGTAAGCGGTTCCGCTTCTTACGTGTCTTAAGGATGTTAGGATTAGCGCTATAACGCCTTAGAAGGAGGAGAGTCTTTAACTCAAGGGAAGGAGGCTAGTGAAGCTCTTTGTACTTCTCAATTAGTACCTGGTCCTTAGCCTTACGCTTAGAGATAAAGTCTTTAACGACTTTCAGAACGAGAATACCTGTTGAACCTAAACTTTCATCTATATCCTCGGTTCCGTTCCGTCTACAGTATACGATCGCACAAATGTTTGTCCTATACCTTAATAACAAATTGACAAAATGCTCACTACTCAGCTTGCGGCTATTGTTGCTGCGGTGCCTACTTATCGAGTTATTAATGGCGTCGTGCCAAATTACAAGGTCGTTACGGTGCGACAAGTACTGATGAAGGCAGTACTGTATTGTTTTCTGAGAGTCCCTAGCGTTAAAGTTCAAACTTGAACCTGGCTTCGTAAAGCAAGTATCATTGACGCGCTTCTGGGACGGAGCGGGAAGTTTTCGGAGCGCGTGATCCAAGGAACTAGCTCCTATAATGAATACCATACACTTAGGGGACCTATAAGACGGCTTCGTTACGCTTTAGTAGGAAAATTAAGTAGGTCGGTTGAACTCCAACAACACACACGGAGTAAACCTGAGGATGAAAGAATTCAACTTAACTCACTTAATATCACCGTACCTGACCACTTAACTTTACTGTCACGCAACGAAGTCAATAATCGGTCGGGCTGAAACGGCTTTGTTTTACTTGAAGCGAACTGGCTTTCAGTTTCAGGCAATTTGGTTAAGTTCCAACAACACACATTTGGTTAAGTTCCAACAATTTGGTTAAGTTCCAACATAAGGTTGGTATCATCTTACAACACAGTTTCGCAGAATTCTGGAGACGTTTTGAGATTGTTTGGCAATTTTTTTACTTTTTTCACAAAATTTTTCAGAAATATTTGGTCAGCAGGTTCGAGTCATAAACCAATCCAAAAAACTAGTCCAGTACCTCTTGTTTATAATCCGATTTCACTGATTAATATTCCGTTCACGTATATCCAAAAAAATTTGGTATCGAGAAAAAATGTCAAGTAAATTGTCTAAGTACCGACTGTAAGATATTTCAGTTCAATGGAACTGTCCAAAAAATTTGGGTATTGAGAAAAATTACCGGATGCTAGCTTGCGGGAAAATTTCAAATATATAACATCGTATAAAATTTATAGCACAGTATGAGAGTCTTAAGCTAGTCGAGTCTTACAGTTTTAATTGAAGACTGGCGACTCCGGTTTCGGGTTGTCAAAACTTTCACTCTCACGAGTCTGTTCCACTGCAACCCTATCAGCAACACTTCTATCAGCAACACTCCTGTCAGCAACAATCCTGTCGGCAACACTCCTATCAGAAACACTCCTGTCGGCAACGCTCCTGTCAGCAACACTCCTGTCAGCAACACTCCTGTCAGCAACGCTCCTGTCAGCCACACTCCTGTCAGCCACACTCCTGTCAGCAACACTCCGACCAGCAACACTCCTCCTTTTCAGAATCTTCTAGAAATGGTGTCGATGCAAAATCAGAAACGATTGCAATTGCTTCTAACAATGAAATATCGCCTCCAATTTTCAAATCCTCGGAAAATGGGCGGAGTAATTTTCCAAAAAAAAACCCAGCCTTAAAACTCCAACTCAGTGCTGGCTGGAGTCTGATCCCAATCGGTGTTCAATTGCACTTCTTCAAATTTCAGTAAAAATGTTTCATTGACGTTGTCCGTTTGAGGTTTAATTCTACTAGCAAATTTGGAGAAAACATTGAGTGAAAATAGCTTCTAAAAGTTGAATTTGATAATCAAAAGGTCCCTTGTGGGGCGCCAAAGTGTGCGCTCAATCTCCGTAATCTAGATAAAACGGCTCGGAAAATAATGTTTTATCACGTATTCTCGGTAATACGGACATTCATCGTCATTAAATTATAAATAAGCCAAAAACTCACATAACTCATGTTCATAATTTCAACCAATATTCAGCTTCAATAAAAAAAATTGGCGCAAGCTAGCCACAAGAACCAATCGGTAATGTCCTTGAAACAAATTGCTCTTTTTGGCGGTCAGCCTTAATCAAGGCTGAACCGAATTAGAACCAAAAAACAGTAAAAAAACGGTCAAATGGGGCTATAGCCCCTCGGGTCTACATGTTTTAAGGTCTGCATATGGGTGGACTCGAACCCGGTTGACCATTTTATATGCATCTATACTCTTGTTTTATATGCATATATACTCTACATTTGCATTGCAACATCGCAAGCTTTTGGCGGCAATTGTGATGCCCGCTAAAAGCCATGTTCAATTTGTTGACGCCCAATTGAGTCACGAAACACTATTTTGGCAAGCTGAAAAACACTCAATTTGTTTTGAAAAAGAATCTAAATAACATCACTTTTGGGTGTTTGATAAAAACAACGACTTTAATCAAAAACAAGAAGACGTCAGTTTTGTCTGAAAAAAGAAAAATGTCTGGAGGCCATTTTTAAGCGAGTTTGTTTCCCAATCATCAGTTTTTTGGGACAAACCCGTAAACAGATTAATCAAACGCAGAACAGATGCACGAAGCATGATCAGTTTAACTGGGCAAATGAGAAATTATGCAAAAATTGAACAACCAATTAAAAAAAATAGAAGAATCAAACCAAAATTTTTAGGGCAAAAAAAAGAGGAGAGGATAATACTAACAAAAAATAAACCCACATCCTTTTTTTAAAAAGCGGAAAAATTTAAACGTTTTCCAAAACTTTTTTTTCTAAAAAAAGCCGGATAGTACGAGTTAAAACGTCCACAATAGATAAAGGGCTGTTTAGTTTTCTCATAGGAGAAAATTACTTTGGACTTGAGTTTGAGTGTAAGCAGAATCAGTTAAACTACACATCTCATTTTTCAAAGCAAGATCATTTATAAGGAAAATAAAAGTCGTCAGTGAACAGGATGGTATTATGGTAGACTATTAAATTATCCAAACCATGACCTTGTAGATCGTGTCTGTAGAAGACATGATTTGGTGAACACATCGTCCAATAACAGCTACAGAGCTCTCAATCGGAAAGCAAACGACTATTGGCTTTTGACAATCGATCTGTCCGAATTGTAGTATAAGTGCAAAGCTAAAGTCCAGCTTCTGCGATGGAACATCGCCATGATCCGATCCTTGATTTGCTTTGAATAGAAAACATACTGTTTTTAAAAGGTGCTCATACAATAATCTGGAAAAAAAAAGATTTCACACTAATTCCATTTTCAGTTTTAATTTTCAGCCAACTTATGCTACATTAAAAAAAACGTGTCGTTCAAAATAGTACACTAATGATTAATTTCATTTTTCACGTTTTCTTAGCTAATTTTGCCAATGATTCAAGTTTCTGTAAAAATTTGGGGGAAAATTGATTTTTTTCATTTTTTTTCTTGGTTACTGAATTGTTTTCTCTATGTATGGTTCAAATTCATATGAAACACGGAGCGCCGGTTGCTGAGCAAGACGCGCCCAAAGTTCCCATCGTTGTGGTCGGATCATTCTGTGCTCATCAACTGGCTATCCTTCTTACATTTGAACTTGAAGTGGAGAAGAGAATTCAGTCAGCAAATTATCTTTGCAAAAAATTTGGTCTTGACTTGAATGAAACAAAAGAATCTGCTCCTTAGTTAGCTATGGAGACAGTTTTATTTGCTGTTCTTTTTCTGAAAATTCATCTTGCGTGTCTTCTATTTCCTACTTTAATTTTCTTTCACAGCTGTGGGAGATGCAAACCAGGGAAATGCCCACTTTCAAGGTCTGCTCCATCTTCGATTACTGCCACGTCACTTTTGACGTGTGCAAGACCAGTCCGAAAACTGTGTGCGCAGACTACAAAACTGCTACGGTAAGTTATTTTTACTTCAGTGACTATTTAGTGGATTCGCATTATTCTCTTCTTATACCAAAAAATGATTAACTATACCATTAAAAAAAAGACAAAAAATAAAAAAAAGACAAAATGCTTAACTGTACCAGGGGCGGGTTTCGGGGAGGAAGAGTGCTCGAGTATTCGGCTCCCTACCGATTTGATGGGTCCCTCATCTGGTGCTATTTCAGAAAACCGTTTTAGGCCGGCCGACCCTAAAATTTTTCTACGGCACCAATATATATACAGCACCTTCGGCACTAATATATACTGATTTTGATGTACTAGCAGTTGGTCAAGAGACAAATGTTTTTTTTTTAATACAAAGAGCTGTGTGAAATGTGTCGTGGTTTGATGCATATATTATAGAAAATAAATATTCCATGGGGTGGACCTAATATTTCAAAAATACATCATACACATTTTTTTCAACATTTTTTGTGAATCCGACTTTGAATGTCGGAAGTTTAAATGAATTTTTTGTGCTCTTTTTTAAAATTTTTGAGAAAAAGTTTTAGTACGGCTCTTTTTCTCCAAAAAATAACGTGTGGGCGACAAAAGCTACGAGCATCTTAAAAAGTAGGCACTGAAATAGAAGCGTCATCACCATGAACCCCCTCCCCCCGTCCCCACAATTGGCGCTTGAAATAATTGTATATTACAAAACAAAACTAAATATATTGTCTTTATCCATCTAAGAGAGAGCTAGACGGCGGGCGGATGCCTTTTCAAGATTCTCCCAAGCCGAAATGAATTTTAAACGTACTATTTCATCATTTTAATTTAAACGTACTATTTCATGATTATAAGTTTCGGGCTTGAAAAATAGAAAAAATAAATGAAATACACAAACTCATTATTCATCTTAATCGTGTTAATCTTATTTTTGTGTGTAGAAGTGTGGCATGTTCGCCAAGTGTATGAAACACGAGTGGGTTGCGGCTGCAGTTGAGTGGTCTCCATGGTCAACTGTAGATGGTAAGATCACAGCCATTTTTTTAAAACCTTTATAGTAGATAGGTCGCAGTAAAAAATGTGTATAGATCATGGGTCCCGTCATAATATGTTGCTAATTTGACATGACAAATTGGCAAGTAAACAAGTGTGAACTTTTGTTCTTAACATAATCGCTTATCAGATTTTATTTTTCACGGAACAATCTATAATTTAAGAACCTCAAGCTTGATTTGCTTGAAATTTTTGATTATTTACAACTATGATGCATCAATTTTTGCCTATATTTTCTATCAACCGCCAAGAAAAAGTGCTATGTGCGTTTCCAGCAACAAGCAGTGTGCGAACCAATGAACAACTTTGAGTTTCTCAAGAATTTTATTTTGTGAAAAGTCAAGTCTCTGTGTTAGATGCCCAGTTTGTCCTTCATAACCAAAAATGAAAGCCAAACAGCTTCGAAAAAGAATTTACATTGGCATATATTTTATTAAGTAAACAAGAGTATCCGATTGCTGTGCTAGTATCATAGAAAGTTCCGACCAAGATGATTATTTTTGTAGATATTTTTCTCAAATTTGCTGGTTTGTGCGGTGTAATGAGAGGAAAAACGAAAACTTAGAAAGCTGGTTACATAATTTTAATCGACTATAGCTGACTTAAGACAAAGAAGCTCAACAAAAATTAATATATTTTTTCCCAACTGTTTTGATTAGTTAAGAACATTTATTGCCTGAAACTGCTAGATGGAGTTTCAAAAACGTGTTTTCCTGAAGTAAAAATAAATCTGTATTGGCTAAATATAATTTTTACCCTATTATATCACCACTCGCTTTGTTTGATCGAAATGAAGCAAAGAGGTAAAATTTTGAAATCAATTTTTCTCGACATTGAAGCTTGAAAGTAAGTTTAGTGTTTTATTACAGTATAAGTCTATCTTGATCTGCTTAGATCACTCGGCCGAATGTACCGAGTGTAAGATGGTTGTTGACTACATGAAGAGCTACTTGGCCGACTACAGCCACAGAAACGAGATCATCCACGAGGTAGAGATGGTATGCGAGAAGTTCTTCACAGCCGACGAATGCGAAACTTACGTGGGGGAGTCAATCGGAGTAAGTCAATTTCCGCCCCCCTTTTCCCTCCCTCTCCCAAGAGATATAATTTACCTATCAAATATATGTTGAAACCGACGTTTTCATAATTGTGTTGACATGGAAAACATCAGTGACCGATTTCCTCATGGCCATGTTCATTTCAACCGTTCGGAAAATGTGAACAAAAAATTTTTTTTGAGGCGGAACGGTTGAAGATACCAATAACGTTGATCTCACGATGTTTTTTTTAAAACTTTTTCAGTGTGATGCAGGGGCGGAGCTAGGATTTTTTCGGGGAGGGAGGGTTGGTTGGAGTTTTTAAATGTGGGATTTTTTTTTAGCTCGAAATTGATTTTGCGAGAGCTTCCAGAACACCTAAATACGCATTATTATTATAGCATTAAGTCATATTTTTAGAAAAAAATGGTCCGAAGGCAAGTTTGTGAAAATACAGGTCATTAATTCCATTTTCGTGCACTTTTTTTGGAAAATTTTGACAAAAAATTGCCTTTTTTTCGGCGCGGGCTTGCTGTTGAAACTTGCGATGATGACTTATTTGGATTGTAGGTTCGCATGATTCGACAATTTTTTTTTTGCAGTTAACTAATTTTGATGCATGGATATGTTTCGCATAAACAAGAAGCACAATTTTTCAAATGTGCCCAGACAGACAGCCTGGAGAGCCTGAATTTTTCAGATGTGCCTAGAGATCGTCTGCGACTCGCAGAAACCACAATTATTATAATTATTATCAATATTATTAAATGAAAATCAAAGAACATCTCACTTTGCTGCTTTTTCTTCCCGCCACTGAAAAAAAAAAACGTTTTGGTGTTATAGATTTTTTTGTTTTGTTTTTCACGCAAAATCCGGCACTATGCAAAATCATTGGAGTGCGTTGAGAGAAATATCATCACGTACAGAGAAAATTCTTTATTTCTGACCTAGAATACTTTATATTTAATCTAATTTTCTGGTCAGAAATTCTTTGTGAAGTGTTTAAATAAAGCAAGGATAAATTTCTTTATTTCTCACCTTATTTCTGATCAGAAAATAGCTAAATCTAGGCTATTTTCTGCTAGAAAAATTTCTACGACTGGGTCTCGAACTCCGGACCTGCAATTTTAGAGGCGGATCTGCAATAACAAGTGTTAGTTTGCATTGTTTTGCTACGGCTATTATTTATTCTCTAAGCATGTTTATCTCGTTTCTGTTGAGCAGTGAACTGATTTCTGGTTATTTCTTTCCAGAGTTTGTTTATTTCCAAACAAAGAAAGAAATAGATCATTTCTGAGCAGAAAAAACAAAAAAATTGGCTAGATAGTCTATTTAACATTTCTATTTAGAAAAACTGCCTTCGCTGGGTACGGGAGTTTAAAGCCCCTTCAGCCGTGATTCGAACCACATAAAAAATTTCCAAAAAACATCCCATTGTCACATTTAAATTTTTGCTTTTTAGTATAATTTCGAGCTAATTTTGGCTAATTTTTAGGATAGTTATAGGTGTTATAATAGATAAAAAAGCCCCATTTTCCTTCGTGAAAAACTAGATTTTGAAGTTTAAATTAGGGGTTTTTTTGAATTCTCAATAAGTTTTTGATTATTGTTTTATTAAAGTTCCGTGCTACTTGCTACTTGCACAAACGTTGCACTCTTGTTGCAATTTTCAATTTGTGGAAATTGAATCTTAGAATTTTTAAACCAATTTCGACCAGTAACTGGATACCTTCTTCACCATTGCTTGCATATTTGTTTAGACCCTGTTGGAGCTTCTGGATACTGAAGTATCCGCCGACGAAATTTGTTCTCTCCTCCAACTCTGCTCTTCATCTCAAGTAAGAAAAAACATACCAATACACCCCCCCTATTTCTGTAGCCCTGGAGTAGTATGTAATCATAAGCCATGCGAAGTTTATGCAAATGAAACGTGAAGAGTTTTTCAGATTTTCGATAATCACGGAAAATGAATGAAATGTTTCACAACGTTTTTTCAACATGTTTTGGCAATTTCTTGATTGACAACAACAAACGCACGCAACCTGACACTGCATCCTGGACATCTAAGATCTATGCTATTTGCTATTCCAACCAATTGTGGAAACAAAGTTTGCGAGGTTATATGATCGAAAAACTAGCATTTCAGCCCTGATTGGCCATCTGCTGTTGTCAGAATGAAAGAAAACAAAAATTGATGTTTATGCTAATTATAGAACGATATAACAAGGGCAACCTGATCGAGTATTAACAAAGAGATTATCTTTTCAAGACACCAGTTGTTAGTTTAAAAGTATTTTTGTAACCCAACAAACTAAGCATTATGCGAAAAAGAAATAACTACAAAATTCTGTTAACTGTGTAATTGGAAGTCAAAAAACATAAATTCCATTGTGATTTTGTTTTTACCAGGACCTGGAACCAGCAACTGTACAACCAGGAACTGCGTCACCAACTCCATGGTCAGAGGAAAAAGTAGCCACACCTCCTCCGAGCAGCAGGGGACTCCTGGGAGCCGATGAGTGTGTGTCCAGTCTAGAAGTGATCTGCAGCGACCCAGAACTCATGATGGTGAGTGTCAGAGTAGTTTTATTTAATAAAGGTGATTACTAAGTCTTAATTGCAGTCTCAAAAAAAATTAGTAATCAATTTGCAACAAATCATGACATTATTTAACGATTTTACTGCCTTTTCGTGAGAATTAATATGGGAAAATTCATGTCATGAGTATCCTTGGGAGGAGGGGTCTTAATTTGGTTGGGCCCGTTTTTTTGCTGTTCTCAAAATTTTGAGCCCAGTTTTTGCTGTTGTCAATTAAAGTAGTCTTAAAAATCATTTTTTGGAGTTTTAAGGGCACGCTTCACCGCTGCTCTTGTTAGAGTACCTAGTGCTGTGTTGAGTTTACACAAACTAGCGATGCCAACCGAGTCGGTAAAAATTTCTAGCGCTCGCCCTAAGGACCAGATGTCTCGTGGTGTAAAGTCTGCATGTATCCACACAATTTAACCTTCTCGTGTTACGTTCATTTAGTCTTTTTGATGAAATTTTGAGCGTACTCTTTAAGTAGCGGCCTCCAAAAGTTGTCAAGTCTCTCTTTTGCTCGCTTCCAGGATTAGTTGGTCAGTTTACCAGTAGAAGTCATAAAGAAATTTTTGCCGTCAAAATTGACATTTTTTGAAAACTAAATGAATCATTTTTGAGCATCAGGAGCAAAACTAATAAATGAAAATTTGGGCCCCGAGGTATCCCAACTCTTAACTAATTATTCGTTCATCAGAACCCTTAAATCGAAGTTCTGATTTTATGTTTCCTCTATACTGATCGAATCAAATTTAAATATTCTACCATAAATCCGCAGGAAGGCAGTGTCGAAATTCGAACTGAAAATCAAAACATGTAAAGTGAACTGAGTCGTATGAAGAAATCAAAGTGAGAATAAAATGTCTGCTCGTATATCAGGGCAAACTTTCCGACCACACTCTTAGACTAATTAAAACTTTGCTGGTCTTAATGCAACTTGAGACGCATTCATCCGCCGGTTACGAGTGTATTAAGAACGCAATATATCTATTCAAAATTGGTCAAATTAACAGATTTCAAGCCTCCGTAACTTTACAAAAAATGATCACAAGTGAAATTTTTCAAGCTCCAGTCAACAATATTTCCCAGATTAAAAAAAATTTGTCACAAATGCTTGGTTAGAAAGTCCAAATTTATCAGTTTTTGGACAATTTTATTCTCAGAAATTATCAACTGTTTAAACTCATTTTTGAGTAGAATTAGTATTTTTTAAAAAAAAGATTTGCTGTCAAGGGTAGGTATACTGCTGAAATTTTTCCCTTTCTTGCTTCAAATTTTTTTTCCTCTTTAAATCGTTAAATGTTTTTTTTTGATTTCTTGATTAACTATCGATATTAAAAAATAACAGAAGTCATAGCAGGATCGTAGGCGCCTGAAAACGGGCTGCATAGTTCCACGGCGTTCTCGCAATGAGATTTCGTTTGGTTGTAAATGTAGTAACTTTTACAATGAATGGAATCTAATTTGCAAACAATTAATTATTATTATTATTATTATTATTACAAAAAAAAAGCATAAAATTCGAAAATCGGAACAATAAAACCAAACTGAGTTAAAACCAGATGACAAACTGCGTGAGCGAATCCGATATGTTAGGCATCGAGGGCAGACTGGATAAACGACCATGCGCATCAATATTTCCGTTTAGTTATAAACTCGTAAAACAAAACCAAAGAAAAATTGACTGATTTCCCATATACAAATTGATGCTTCAGAAGGTATCTGTCTAAAGCTTCCAATTCCCTTTCATTTTCCTCTTAATTTATGAAATTTTTGGCACCATTATTTTTGGAGTTTTCTGGTTTTCATGTTGCAAAAAAAAATAAGGAAAAGCTGGTTAATGCACGACCAGGCTTGTAGAATATCTCTCGTCATATTAACGTGTAAGAGGCAAATAAAATCTATACTACGGATCAGGATGTCAGCGATTTCATTTTTAAATTACCGTAACGGACGCAATAGATATCGTTTTGTTATTGTTCCGATTTTCGATACGAAAGTGACGGAATATTTGTGCTCAGGGTGGGTTTTTTTTTCTTCAGACAAATTTCGACTTTTTAACTAGCCATTTTTGACGGAATTGTTTTATATCATTCAAAAGGTATTGTTGTCCTGAGCTTAAATTCGAAACAATATTCTACCTGTGATCATTTTTCGTAAAGTTATAGGGGTTTAAAGCTTGCCATTTTGGCCAATTTGCGACAACTAACGCGAGATATATTTCGCGCTATTAACGCGTAAGCGCAGATTTAATCCATCTTAGAAATCAATCCAAATTGATTGAAAGAAGCTTATTTCTAATTGATTTGTTACAAGGAGCGAAATCTACTGTTTTGTACTTTATATGGCGTGTGGGGGGATGTTTTCATAGAAAAAAATTCAAATTTTAGAAAAAAATTTCGTTTTATTTTATTTTATTTTTTGTTGCTTATGATATTACTGCTCCATAAACCTTAACGGTAGTCGGAACATTCAGGGCTTCGCTCTGATACGAGCATTTTTGTTTACTTAGTGTGTGTAGGGATAAAAGTAATAATCAGAAAAAGAAAAAATTAAGTTTTTTTGCAATATTTTAGAAGCTTTTTGAAAAAATTTTTGGGCGTTAGAGGATAGTAGGAGCATTCAGCGTTTATTACAGATACAACCAGATTGATTCCCTTCTATTGATGATTTTTGATAATTTGAGTTAGAATGTTAAAAATCTCTCAATTATTTGTAAAACTACAATCTTTCGAAATGTAAACGCAACAAAATTGACAGAAACAAGTGAAAATTTTTGAAAAACGAAACTAGAGTAGCAATTTTTTGAAAGAACTCCACTACTCCATAAAGCTTAAAATGCAGCCGGTAATTTCAGAGCTTTGGCCGTATACGAGCAGTCTTGTTGTTCCGACGTTGGATACGAAAGTAACGGAATATTTGTGCTCGGGTGGGTTTTTTTTTTCTTCAGACAATTTTTGACTTTTTAACTAGCCATTTTTGACGGAATTTTTTTATATCATTCAAAAGGTATTGTTGTCCTGAGCTTAAATTTGAAAAGATATTTCACCTGTGATAATTTTTTGTAAAGTTATGAGGGTTTAAAGATTGTCATTTTGGCCATTTTGACCAATTTGGGACAATTAACGCGCGATATAATTCGCGCTATTAACGCGTAAGCGGAGATTTAATCCGTCTTATAAATCGTTCCAAATTAGTTGAACGAAGCTTATTTGCCATAATTGATTTGTTATAAGGAACGAAATCTCCCTTTTTGTACTTTATATGGCGTGTGGGGTGATGATTTTCATTTAAAAAAATTCAAATTTTAGAAAAAAAAATTTTCATTTTATTTTATTTCATTTAATTTTTTTATGTTATTACTGCTGCTCCATAATCCTTAAAAGGCAGTCGGAACATTCAGGGCTTCGCCCTGATACGAGCAGTCTTTTTGATATTTCAAAAACGTACATTTATTTTTACAATTTGTTTGGTAAATCGGTTAGCAGTTTCAAATAATAGACCATTTGAATTGGTGTGTAGTTATGAACCTCTTCAGGGCACCTAATTTTCATCAATTGGAAAAAAACCATAATCAATTGACAAACGTCATTGATTGGGGTTGCTGTTCAAATTTAACACACCAGTTTTTTAGTTAACCGATAAAAAAGTCGATTAAATAATTCGATTTTTAAAGAATTTTTTTAGAATTGTTGATATGACAGCTACTAATTTTGAAGAAATTATTAGAAAACTTCCACTTGTGAATGACACCACGTTTTTGATCAGATGAAAAATTTGCATTTAAAAAGTCTCATTTCAGCAAAATAATAGTTTTGGCTTTCTTTATTTGTTTTACGTTTTCTTACAGCAAAAACTACTCGATTTTTTTCTTTTACATAATGTATAAGAGCTTAACAAATAAAACAAAGCACGTAAAACGCAGTCGGACCAATCAGATGATATTCTAATTTATGTACAAATAATCTTACAAGTTCTTAGCGCAGTCGGACCAATCAGATGATATTCAAATTTATGTACAAATAATCTTACAAGTTGTTAAGTAAATCGGTTTGCGGTTTGCGGTTTCTGCAAAAAATAGATCAATTGAAAGAGCGAGTTCATAAGCATCTCTTCCATGATTCGAATTCATGAGCTCCTCATCAATTAGAATAAACTTCGTTCAAAAACAAACGTCATTGATTTAAGTTTCTGCTCCTAGTTGAAATGCGAGTTGTTATTCGAACTTAGCGCACCAGAAATACTCCGAAAATTTTTACGAAAAGCGTCTTAAGTTTCTTTGAAATACTGCCTTTTACGAGATTATCCTTTATTCGCCCATGCCTCAAAGTATGTGTCAAGTTTTTACACCGATTGCACACGCGTTTCGAAATTGACTCTATTTACATTCTCAGATCCTTTCTGTTGCTTTTAACAGAACTGTTTTTTCTTATAATCATTGGTATGCTAGTTTGTATGTTTAAAAAACGTTTCGAATTTTTTCACTCCTGAAAGAAACTATGTTTTTGGGTTGGAAATTGGCTTCTGCGGTACGCAGAGCAGTTTTGAATTCGCAGTCGATCTAACTATCCACATCCAGTTTCAAGCATTAAAAATCGATTATAATATAATTTTAGTACCAGTCTCACAAAAATTGAGAAAAAAATTGATTTTAATTTTTAAATGAAACAGTAATGTTCCACCTGAATTGTTTATATATTATGCTTTTCGTATACGTTGGTTTATGAAAAAAATGGGAAAAATTTTAAAAACAATTTTCAAATCATTTCAAATTTAAAAAGGTTTATTTTTGCATTTCTTCTGTGGGTTCTAGTTGTTTCATGATAGAAGTTTTAAGTTTTTTGAACACCACTTTAGTTTCATGATTTATATAGAAGAGTTATTTTTCACCTACCGCGGGATTCTAACTAATACGAAGGGATCTCTATGAAACTTTTGTTTCTTTGTAAAACTTTGTGTTCAGGTGAACCAAAGAGTGACATGGCATCTTA